TATGAAAATATTGCTGTAAATTAAAAAACCTTATCGATTTTTTGAAAACAAAATATTTCGCAAGAATATGGTAAATTGCAAAATTTGGAATTTATGGCTTTTTACCATTTTCAAACTTTATTACCTTCAGTTTCTCTAAAAGCTCGAATGAATGGAAACAAAACAGATTCTGTGTAAAAAAAGAAACGGTAAACTAAGGTGAAAAATATTTAATAGTTGAATTCATGAGTCAATTAAAGCTAGACTACCATGAAAAACCTGAAAGCACTGGACGGCCGTTTCGTTCCAGTATGGAATTCCTCAGTAGTGTGCATCTACAATCTCGCACACGGGACTCGAACCTGCGAGAAAGCTTAACCTTTAGATCGCTGAGCCGGTACCCAACTTCAATTAATCCACGAAATTGTGCCACCGTCCACCATTGTCTTCAGTTAGTTGATATCTCACAACAGACCTGGTTGAAATTCACTTGTCACTGTTTCTCACTAGAACTCCAGGAAATACCACTTGAAGCCAGTCACTAGTGAACATGTGATGATCGTTATCAGAAAGAAGGGGGTTATGGATATTATAGTAATTTAATAAGGATATAAATCTAACATCAGGAATGTTAATGAGTTACGCAGCAAACCCTTAGCATTATCACAGAATATATAGATCACACTTTGAAACATGAGATAGGTCATTCAGTCTTTTTTCTCGATGTGTCTGGTAAGGAGGAGTGATGAATCTTTGAAAAGGTCTATTTACTGAAAACAGACATATAACAGCTAGCTAATCAACTTCTATATCTGGGTTCCACTAAGAAAGAAGAGGAATCTTATTCTCTCTTTATGTCACCGAATACATCAATTATTCAGTACAGAATGAGTTAAAGAACATGTATTTCTTAGAAGAACCTGAGGTGAAAACAGCTATCCAAGCTGCTTCATAGAGAATATATATATGATTGTACAGCTGGATAATAATTTCGTTGAACAGAGATTCCTTCTTGAAATTCTTGTTTTAATTGTTTAAATGGTAATTATATATCAATACATTTTACTACAAAATACTTTCTAAATTTGTTGATAATTTTTCTCTAACTCTATAGTCATCTACTAGAGACAACGTCTTGATATTCATCATTTACTCATGTTTATATACTATAAAAATGAGTAGCCTCTTTTTATATGGAATTTATATAATTTTGTATTATTCTCAAACCATTTGGCATCATGTATTGTTCCTTCTGAAAAGAGTAAGCTCAGAAATCTGGAAGAACAGCCTTAGCACAAGAAATTGATATGGAATAAATTAAACTTGGCTAGCAGTCAAAACCAGTACATGCGTTTCGTCCTATTTAGAACTCGTCAACTAGAGGTACTTGAAACTCAGAGTTGATGATCACTCCGGAACTCGAACTCGGTACCACTGCTAACCGAATTCCATCTATTCTATATCAACCTGTGTTATAATAGTTAATCTCTAAGGAATCAGAATAGAACACCCACATAATAACCAAAACTGATCAAATTTTAGTAAAAAAAACAAAACAAATCAACAACGAGATAATTCGCACCATTTCAAATTGAATTTAATGTAAGAAGTTGTAGTGTTGTGATGTAATATTAAATATAGTTTCAGCCTTGTCACAATCCATACAATATATGTCTATTAGTAATCAAAACAATCAGTTTGTCTACATTTAATTTATCTTGGTATTTTCAACAGAATACTTAGACGAATAATTCGAAAATAAATATTATTCTATAGAATTACATTTATACTACTGTCTAAACTATTATTATATTGAAATTAATCAATGTTTAAATAAAGCGGAACATTTTGATAGGCGCCAAGAAGAAATTCTTTGACAGGAATATCTTATTAGTTAAGTTTCAATGTTTTCTATCATTATGCTTTACATGTGAAAAAAATTTGATAGACAAATTAGAATTTACTAAGAGTTAGTAAAGTTTAATTTGGTCTAATATATAGTATAGGAGAAACTCCATAAGATGGAGTCTGTGTGCAATATACTTGAAATGTTAAGTAATTTATTTTAGTTACAATTAATAGTTGATATTATTGTGATGTGAGTTACTTATACCCACATAAGTAGTATATAACGGTGGTCAGACACAGAATGTATTTTTGTTGAAGATCGAGAAGGAAAGAACGAGAATGGAACGCAATTGGTATGAAAATGCATGAACAATGAAATCTGATACAATGGACTGATATTTGCAAAGCGAACAGTGAAGATTGAGACGATGGATTAATATATTGCAAATTACTAATATAGGGGTTGTGGAGATTATTAAGTTTTTGATTGGGATCGTGAACCGATTGATGTTAGACCATCACAATTTAAGACCTGAAAGCACTGAACGGCCGTTTCGTCCCATTGTGGGACTCCTCAGCAGTGCGCATCCACGATCCCGCGAGCGGGATTCGAACCCACGGCCTTCAGTCTCGCGCGCGAACGATTAACCAACTGGACCACTGAGCCGCCATTCAATGGTGATAGTTCCTAACATCAACTAATCCACGAAATTGCGCAACCAAATTGCAAATTAACTATTCACTATATGATTCTCACATTTTATTGACATGCTCTGTAATTTCATGTCTAGTACATTCGATTGTACCCACTCGTGTTTTTGTCCATTATTAGAGTGGAAATAATCTCTGGGATGCAGGGAGATCCGGCTGACGAGTCCTAAATGGGATGAAATGCGCATCCTGGATTCAACTGCTAGCCAATATTCATCTTTGAATACAATTTAGTTAGAATTGAAAGAAAAGTCATGAATATCTTAGCGAGTCCAGTATTGAAAACCATCGAGAAGATAAATTTACTACCCTCATGAACAGCGAGATTCAGTGAAAGAAAATGAAAAAGGCAATAACTTAAGGTTATTTAGCTGAAATCTAATGACCCACATTTTGAACTTCAGCCAGTGAATGATGTGAGATTATCCTAAAAAAATATTATCGATGATTAATCATCAGACTCGGAACTTGATTGACTTCCCTATCTAGCTTCTGAGAATTCTCATATCGTTACGAAACTGTTGTCTAGTTCTTACTGATTGTTTAGCTTAAATTAGTCCATGGTGGTTTCAGATATATGTTTAATTCTGACAATGATATAATTACACAATTATTAGAAAGGTTTTAAATTATCGATTCCTGATAATAATGATAATAATAATAATAATAATATAAACAGTCAAATAGTTAATGACTTACTGAACTCAATAGCTCAATGAATAACGCCTTAGTTGTTGAAATATTAAAGGTAATAAATTAGTGTCCTTATGTGAAAATCAAAACTGGAATGCAGGTACATCCAGTTGACAAATCTCAAATAAAACGAAACGAACGTCATGGATTCAACTTCTAGTCACAATCTACTTATTCAGTAATGTATTTAGTTTGTGTTTACCTAACTCTAAGTTTTGACTTTCAAATCAGTCATAAGTATGAATGATTTTGGTTAAAGTTTTATTTTAGTATCCCATTTCCCAATACATTTTTTCAAGAACCTAAAAGATGGTACTGTAGTGAACGAGAACACAGGCAGGGACAATTAAATGTAATTCAACACAAAATTACAGAATCTATTAGTAAAATCTGAGAACCATACTGTAAAGACTTCATTTGCGAGATGTCAATCAACTGTCTCAGACTCGATTGTTCTTTCGTCTCCACACCAATCATTCTCTGTTCTCTTTCTCTTTTCTTCGATCTTCTTAACCTTCTACCGCCAGACATTTCATTTTCAACTGATGATACATACTACTTATATCTATCGATATCAGTAGCACACACAACGGTACATTTACGATTTATATGTTTGTTCATGCTTATATCTAATATTTTAAATGATTCAAACTGCAAACAATAAACCTTGGGATTATGAATCAGCTTTTTTAAATGATAACGTGGGCAATACTTTCCTGATGTAGGAATAGTTTGTCAATTAATTCTGATCGGTGTACGTTATTATGTCTGTTGGTTAATAACAATCTCCAAGATGACTTATACTTAGGTTTCCTTTCATTTAACTTAACTAATTTATTAATTACCCATTGCTTCAAAGTACTCAATCATTTTTATGTATCTGTTTTATAAAGAAAAAAAATTTTCAATTTGAACTCTTCACTACCTAATTATTTACTCACTTCTTACTACGTAATGGATTTAATTTTTAGTGATGACTATTCTAAGTCTATCTACCCACATTTGACCTTCTATTTCCAATGTTTAACTAATGATGAGACTTCTTAATATTTTAGATCATGAGTCAATTGAAGCTAGACCAACATGGAAAACGGCCGTTTTGTCCTATCGTAGGACTCTTCAGCAGTGCGCATCCACGATGTGTCGCTCAATTTCGTGAATTAGTTGAAGTTAAACATTCACACCGTTGGATACCGGCCCACTGGTCTAGTGCTTAAGCGCTCGCACGCGAGACTGATAGGTCTCGGGTTCGAGTCACGCAGAGGGCGGGATCGTGGATGCTTACTGCTGGGGAGTCCCACAGTATGACTAGACGGCCTTCCAGAGCTTGCAGGTTTTCCATAGCGGTTTAGCTTCAGATGACTAATGATCTCAACTATTGAAATTACTACAATCTCCACAAAACCGCTTCTGATAAAACTTTTATTATCGTATTTTATTATTCTTACTACTATCAGTACACCTGTCTTCCTACTATCAACTTGTACTTTTACCTATTATGTGTGGTGACTTATTCTATTTCAATGTGATTATTGACCCAAATTACCTTGATTGGTTTAACATTTTCGTATAAATATTCATGTATATTAGAGTAAAGCCTGATGACGATCTAATTGAAAACAATTGTTCGCTTATATAAGTCGTTCTAATTAAATATTTACTTAAAACTTCTATTCATTTATGTGTGTTTTATAAATTGTTATAGCTAAAGTATATTCATAACAAGAGAAAAATACAGAGTTATTCTTATTTTTATACAATTTCATTAGGTCCAAGCTTTCGTAAAATTCAAACTCTTCATAATGGAAATGCAACACAGAAACGTTTTCCATCAGATACTACACTTAATTCAACAACAAGAGAAGGAGCTCAAGTAAGAAGTAACAATTTTATTCATTTTACCTTAAAAATTGGTCAACATATTCACATAACAACAATTTATTATTTAATTATGTAATCATTATTATGCTATCTGATCCTAAAATCCAATTTAATTCTATCTAATTAATTGTAGTTTATTACCTTATGTAAGTGACTAAATGTCGTAGTTTACATTGATTGATGTTATATATCTGGCAAAAAAATAACAGAATTCTATGGATCTTATCAGAAAGTACCAAATATCACTAAACTTAGATCAGTTGAATTAGTCTAGATCAAATATTTTTCAATTTAGATCCTTTATAAAATTCAGGTAAACCACTACCTTAAAAGTATCCATATTTCTTTATTGTGATAAAAAGAATACAAAAAGGTTTTGAACGGAATATGTAGAACTCATAGGTAAATAATTAATTTTATTGTTATACATCTCTTGAATTCATTGTTGAGTTCACTAATGTGTATTTTATCAGACTGGACATCTGCTCACTAGTGATTTACTTCAAGAGATACTCCTGGAGTTCTAGTGAGAATCCGTTACCAGTGAAGTTCAATCAGGTCTGCTGTGAGATATCAACTCACTGAAGACAATGGTGGATGTGTCGATCAACTTCATGGGTTGGTTGAAGTTTGACATTAACACCATTGGATACCGGCTCAGTGGTCTAGTTGGTTGAGCGCCTGGCGCGAGACTGACAGGTCCTGGGTTCGAATCTTGCGGGGGGCGGGATCGTGGATGCTCACTGCTGAGGAGTCCCACACTAGGTCGAAACGGCCTTCAGTACTTGCAGGTTTTCCGTGGTAGTCTAGCTTCAATTGACTCATGATTTCAATCAGTGAAATTATATCTTTCTTATAATTCTTAAATAGATAATCTTTAAAACCTTGTTTCTTACTACCCCTCAATTGTTACATAACTTTAAATTTCTACTTTAAGTACTCCTGTAAATGACGTAATAATTCTAGTCCTTATTTATGGACCACTATATGTAATAAAGAAGCAATAGAAGCCGCGCCCACCTGGAGTCCCTCCGGGGGCTACGGCCGGTCCTAAGCCCGGATAAAGGAGGAGGGTTGAGCATTGGGTTAACGACCCAACCCGTAGAAAACTAACTCGCTAAAAAACGCTAACAAAAAAAGTATTCAACCCTTTTAAACTCTGCCCTGGGAGTCAGAAGGTCTTCATTTAGAAGAGCTATGACGCCTCATGATGAAAGCCGAGTCCCTTCGGAAGTCACGAGGCCGATGCCCCTTCTGACAACCAGAGCAACCATTCATTTAGGTACATGTAATACTCTTACAATGTGGAAGACCGGGAGAGTCTTCCAAATTGCTGCAGAAATGAAGAAATACAACCTGGAGGTGCTTGGGCTCAGCGGAACTCATTGAACGAAAGTTGGACAACATATGTAAAAAAAAGTAACCATAGATACAATTGTCCAGTTCTAGTAAATTAATATTACCAGAACAAAAATCTCTACACTGAAATGTCTTCGTATTGTTTAAACAGTAAATATCAATAATTCATAGGATATTTATTATCCACATAACAAAATCTCGATTTTCTCAACTAGTTCTTTAAACATCCATTTAATACCATAGTACTAAACACTAGAAATTAGAACAATAATTTCTAAAAATGTGGTTCAAGAATTTGTTACTAGCATATCAACTGATATATTTTCTTTTTACATATCTTGGTCTAATTTCACAGCTGTTTTTTCCCCATTGTGTTTATTGTCTATTGGCTCGAGTTGTTTATTTTTTTCCTCTTTCATAATTAGTTTTATCTATGTGTACATAATTGTTGTGATCTATAAGTTATTGATCCATATGTAAGGTAACCAATGACGTAGTTTGGAATCTTTCTGTAAATGTCACTCCTTAAATTAGTTAGTAGTACCTTAAATATATATTTATTCCTTTCTTTTATGTTATTTTTAGTTTAAATTCGGTTAACTGTTATTGGAATTCAATATAATAACCATGTAGATAGATAATAAAACAAGATATTTTATCATGAGAGATAGTTCGAAAGATATAAGGAGTGAGAAGAATGTCATGAAATTTCGATATAATTTAGATTATTGCTTACTGACTTCTAAGTACATGTATACTTCCAACTGTTTGAAGGCCTAGTTAGAATGATAATAACATTGCAACACATACTTTAGTGATAAAGCACCTATGTCGAACCGACATAGATTATTCTAGTTTCTGGACAAACCAATCTATTCAATTTCTCTCAAACTACATTTTTAATTTTGTTAATTATTTGATTCGCCTTGCTTAGCCTTTCCTTTGCCTTGCTTTACTTCGAATCGATTTGGCTATAACTATTGACTAACGCTTAATTAAAGGGAGTTGATTCACATGCCCATTTTACTGAGCGTCGTTTCGTTTCGTTTATTTCGATGCGATTCTCTGATTGTCTATTTTGAATAACGATTGTACAAAATATACGTATTCAAGACTTCATTATCGTATTTGACTTATTTAATTTCGTTCTTTACTTCATCACTATCAAAGATAAATAAATTTCGTTAATAGAAACAATGAATTACTCATATTAACTAATTCTCCTTACATTCATTACTAGTTAAGACATTAAGAAATCCATGAGGTTACTCTTGTACACTTTACAAAGTAACGCAACACAACTGAGTATGTTGACAAATACATTTATACTGGTTTAATTCAGATACATACCATCAGAATTAGAACTTCTAAAATCAAACCGATTAAATGTTAATAGTAAAATCTGATTGAAACTTGCCAATCGCCTAACTATAACCATCTAGAAGTGGAAAATGTATGTATCTATGTTGAGTTGCATAATTTAGCGATTAGACTGTCGACCAACCTAACTGGATTTAGTGTATATAAACTGCCAGTAATGGCTCTGGTACCAGTGAGTACCCGAATCGCGCAATCTATTCCCAAGCTTAAATATGTGGTACTTCGTGTTCCGACATTAAAACGGCTGTAAGTTTTCCTTATTCCTTATGATAATCTTTGCTGATGTGATCATAAATAATAAAAACACAATTACTGGCCTAAGTGTTATTGAAATATGTGATTATTATGCATCAGAGAGCACTTTTCTTCGGTCAAATATGTAAAGATATGTCATTCTAAGAAGAAAATCATCTCATTATAATACTTACCTACTTACGCCTGTTACTCCCAATCGAGCATTGGCAGCTGACCAGCATTCTCCAACCCACTCTGTTCTGGACCTTCCTTTATAGTTCTATCCAATTGTTGTTCATTCTTCTCACGTCTATCTCGGAGTAGTGTGTTCTTTCGTCTTCCTCTCCTCCTTTGAGCTTGAGGATTCCATGTGAGGGCTTGCCTTGTGACACATTGGGTGCTTTCCTCAATGTGTATCCTATCCACTTCCAACACTTCTTCCTGATTTCTTCCTCCTCTGGATTCTCGTTTGTTCTCTTTCATAGTAGGTTGTTGTTGTTGGTAGAGTCTGTCCAACGAATCCGAAGTATTTTGCGTAGACAACTGTTAATAAACATGTGTATCTTCTGGATGATAGCTTTTGTTGTGCTCCGAGTTTCCACACCATATAGTAGAACTGTGTTGACATTTGTATTGAAAATTTTGACTTTAGTGTTGGTTACCAATTGTTTTGAGTTCCAGATGTTCTTCAATTGTAGACATGGTGCTCATGCTTTGCAGATTCACACCTTCACATTTGCATCAGATCCACCATGTTCATCAATGATGCTACCCAAATATGTAAAGGTTTTTACATCTTCCAAATCTTCTCCGTGAAGTGTGATTTGATTGTTGCATGTTGTGTTGTGTCGCAGAATCTTGCTTTTCTCTTTATGTATGTTGCTCATAATAATACCGAAATACTAATACTATTACTACTACTACTCACAATGTCAATAATAATAATAACAATAATAAAATCATGCTTTTTTGTGGGTGGAATGTAATTGGTAGATAATTACAAGTAGGAAAGCGTTTTACCATATAGAATGGTTGATAATTTCATGAAATACAGTTTACAAACCATAAAATATTGTCAGTAAATTACTAACTTCAGTTTTTCAGTAATTTAAACACTCTAAATCATTGGATTTCAGGTCAGTGGCCTACAGCAACACACCTTCCGTAAGATATTAATGTCTTGTTTCTAATCTCTGGCATGGTTTTGAGTAGGCAATTTTAAGGAGTTTCAAAATAAAGCAGAACGGTTGTCCAGTACTCCCGTTATTTTTAAATGTTATTTCAGTTGATATAACATTGTGATAGAAACCGATATTAACTTAAATGTTTATGGTTATCAATGGAAATAAATTGTAATTCATCTGAGATAGTTATTACCTGAAAAAGATAAGTTAATTTTATAACACTAGGATTATGTCAATTATGTCGCCAGTATGAATGATTTAGATACACTGGAGTGAGATGAGTGGAAAGCAAACAAACAACATCGATAGTGGACTATAGTAAATAAGCTATCAGTTGAAAATGAATAAAAAACAAACTGAGATATGTTTTTTAACCATTTGTGTATTAAGACAGGAAACATATTCACAAACCCTATGTAACATAAATGAAGTGATTTCAATAATTTTCTCTTATATCTTATATGTGTTTTGCATGAAAACATTTTATGTTAATTGGTAACAGGAACTTTGATATGAACAAATGGTAAAACTATAATTTATGGACGACCTTTGGGCGACGCTAGGCTGACCTTCAGAGTATCCACCTGATAACTAGAACCAAGTGAGGGTTATAAATTAGTGTGAGGAATTCGAATTATGATTTACGGTTGATGGTTAAGGTTAGAAATTAGACTTAGGGTTTTCATCACGAACTGATACCAGATATAATGTCAAGACTCTATTTAGCCAAATGAATGAGTGAATTTCCCACCAAAATCTAAGACCTGTTATCTTATACCTGATTAGTTCGTCCATAAATTATAGACTCGCCTGAACAAATTCTTAAAATCAGCTG